AGAATAGTGCGATCCGCAGAATTTCATCTGCAGCCGCAAAAGCAAATGCAACCCGCATATAATGATAAGCGGCTACAGAAGAAGCTCTAAAGCTTCAGAGGATTTTGGCAGAAGTGCGGTCCGAAAACCAAAAAGTGCGGTCGCACTGTCAAGACGAAAAGTTCGGTGAAGATGCAATCGAACAAGTCTGAAGCCTCCTCAAAGTGCGGTCCATAGCAATTTAGTGTGGCCGCAGAAGCTGAAGTGCGACCGCAAAAGCTTATGTGCAGCCGCAGAATTCCTTCAACTGAAAGCACTTGTGAGAGTAACCTACCAAAGTGTGGACAACAGATGCAATTGTATGGCTGCAGAACCCTCCGAAGGGTAATTTTGTCAAAAATTTTAGAGCGTTATGAATAGACGAGAAATACTTTTTTAGGGCAACTTTTGTACTGTGGCAGCAGCTAGCGGTTATACGTAGCTATTTTGGGCAACTTGGAGCTACAATTATAGAAGATCTATTAATTGTCCACTTTAATTTTATGTATTTAATTACTTCTTCTTTTCTTTTTCTATGTCAATTACTATCAGTAGCTAGATTTTATCTAGGGTTGTGATCTAACCCTAGTGTCTAAAACTTATGGGTGTTTAATATTACTGCTTGCTATTGATTGGTGGATGTTAATTAGCCTTGTTTGTGCTTTATAGTTAGAATTAATAGTTGCAAATATTGATTCATGCCTATTTGACTTTGTTCCTACTTGAGAAAGAGGAATTTAGTCTAGGAAAACTTGGCTAACAAGAAATTGAGCTAGTTGAAGTATCAATTAGTTTGGTTAAAGGATTTGAACTAGAAATAGGGATAATCTAACTTGGAATCACATTCAATTGTTTTGTTTGCTACCCATTTGGTCTTGAGAAAGCCAATTTGAACATAATCACTCTTTAACCGAGAGGTATTGAGTGAGTACTTGAGCATTAAGAGTCATAACAAACCCCGATCTATCAAGCAAGTATAGATTTACTCTACCCATTAGGTTTACACCTTACAACCTAGGCCTTTCCCTATTTGATAAAAATATCAAAAACATTTCAAACATTACTTGCTCATTAGTAAGTTAAATTTTCTAGTAGTTAATTTAGATAATTGTTACCCACTTTTGTTTGGAAGCTAAATTTAGATATTTCGAGCTTCTTTCTTGAGTGTTTACCTCAACCCATTTTTAACTCCCTGTGGATTCGATCCCGACTCGTGTTGGATTTTATTATTGTAACGACCATTTCATATTCCTTAATTGGGTGGAATTGGAAATGACCACTGGTCCATCATCGAGTCATCAACAACTCGATAATGTGTATCATGGGCTATCTATAATTATGAATGGTACGTTTAAGAGTTAACGTTAATATATTATGTTGAGATGGATCCGAAATATTAATTATTTTATTAGTTGTGCAATAAAATTGAGCAACATGACGGTCTTGTCCTAACTCAATTGGGAGATGACGATAGTTTGAATCGGGATATGCAGATGCACAGAGTGAGGAAGATGACAGTAATTATGACGACAACGCTGATGAGTTCGGATATAAAACACCATTCCCTAATGAGAGCGACGATGAAGAACCACACTTCACAGATGAGAGTGACAATGATCAACCAGATTTAACGATAGAGCATGATGCCACCACTCAGCATACTCTGTATGCAGATTCCACCTACCGTTAAACCAACGGTGTATGAGTCGCGTATGCCTTTTCATTCAAGGGAGATTTCTTACCTTGATCACTTGCCAAGTATGTCGGACGTGGATGCCCTCACAAGGTATCTTGATCACATTCGTATAGTAATGTGGGATGAAAGTTGGCCAACGGAGCTTTGAAAAAATATAATTTTCGGTGATAAGGCTCGCCTTTAACAGGGCGGTGCTAATTTACAGCATAAAAAATTGTCGTGAGATCGAGGTTGCTAAGTCATATAAGAAAATATATAATGTGATTTGTCGTAGATTGGACCGAGGTTGTAAGTGGATGCTACATGGGAGAAAGTCGAAAACTAATATGTGGGTGGTGGGGAATTACATTGGCAAGCATACTTGTAATATGGACACATTCAACAAGAATCATTTTAACTTAAATATTGACTTGATTTCTCTTGTCTTGATTCCACACATTGAGTCGTCCATAAGGCACAAGGTGAATGAGTGTATAAAATCAGTTGCGTAGGTATACGGGTGTACCACTACCAAAAGAAAGACATTTCTCGGGCGTAAACGTGAGTTTGAGATTGTTTATGGCAATTGGTGTGTTTGCAATATCAATGAAACAAAATTGTATTTTCAATAGTGTTAACTCTAAGTGACACTTAGCATTGAAAATTCAATAGAAAACTTAACAAACAATAAAAATATATTTTCATTCGTCATTACCGTCATTGTCGGGCACTAATTCATTGTTACTGTCATTGGGGTCTTCATTGTCATTTTTTTCGTCTTCTTCGTCACCTTCTTGTTCGTATCCATCCGGACCCAGGGCATCATAATCTAGCTCCCAATTATCATATATTTTTGTATTTCATCACTATCATCAATAAGAATGCTTGCTTGGTTTCTACAATAATTGGCACTCCAATATCCAACATCTGCGGTAGATATTTTGGTAGGCCCTCCCACTCCACAACTGATAGGAAAATAGGATAATCGAGTTTACTATGTAATTTTTCATTCTCTAGTAAAGCCCAATGCTGATCCTCAGTCCCTTGGAGGTAGTTAAGATTATCCAGTGCATGATGAACGGCTAGTGCCTTTTCTATCTCTAAGATCTCCTTCATCAAATGTCGAATAACTTCTAGTTCGTCTATATGTGTGGAAGTTTGGAACGTTGTAGACAATGCTTGTGGTACAACTAGACCATGCCAACAACATAATACCTCATAATTGCACCTTTTTGAGTATAGGGGAACCCACTGTAGGTTTTCACCCCCCAAATTCGCACACCTTTAGGCTCTGCAGAATACATCTCCCCCTCAATAATGTGCCCTGCAATTCGTAGATCTATATGTACATTGATGGGCTTATTTTCTAAAGGACGTAAAATATTATATCACTTATCATCCACCAAATCAGTATAGCAACATAGCATTATTTTTTCAAGAAAGGGATCGATTGTATTCTAACCTGAGCCATGTGGATCTTTTGAGCTACCTTCACCCTTTTGCCTCTTCATAAACCATTTATTAAATGTAAGTGGCAGTTTGGAAAGGCTTGGCTACATGAATAACTTAAAAAATTGGTTCTACTTATCAATATTGAAAGTGGACGTAGTTCAACATGATGCATGTACAATATGCGCTATTTAAATACACGCCTCGTCTTCTCGACCTGAAAAGGCATGTACGCACTTGTACAGTAATAGTTCCTTTACTAGTTCAACATGGCGCATGTACAATATGCGTTATGCAACTTTCAGAAAAATATTACAATTTAAATGTACGCCTTGTCATGTCGACCTGAAAAAATCTGTACGCACTTGTACGTAGTAATTCCTTTACTAGTTTAACATGGTGCATGTACAATATGCTTTATGCAACAATTCATAAAAACAATATAAATTAAATACATGACTTGTCTTGTCGACCTGAAAAGACATGTACGCACTTGTACCGCAATGATTCCTTTACTGGTTAAACATGACGCATGTACAATATGCGTTATGCAACCTAAAATCACTCATTCTAACCTTTAAAAAACCGGCGCATGTTACTTTATTCTTTGTGAATCCTCACAGCTTAAACAATCAATTAATCTTATTTTTCATCAAATTTCAAGTGCCACCAATACGATATGTCCGGCCGCGATGAGGTCCTTAGGTTTTAGTGCAGGAAACGTACAACTTTGAAGCCATGCCAGGCCACTTGCAATCTAGGGCACGAACGCTGGATGTGTAAATACATTGTGAGTCATTAATATTCAAATTTATATTGGTTATTCAGATATTTATTTTATAACATGATATTGATAGTTGTTTGTTATCATAACCATTCGTAGAAGGAAAATTAATGTAGTTTGGAAGAATGGTATGATGAACCTATTAACCAGAAATACTACAAATTATGTTTACTAAACCTTTGAAAACGTACTGAGGAGTACAAAATGAACATCTGGAAACTCGAAGAAGAAGTAACGGCATTGAAGGAGAAACTGAAAGAAGCCGAAGACGAAAATAACCGGCTGCAAGAGTAATTTAATGGTTGAAGCAGAGAATAATATGCGATAGTGATTAAAGAACACGTGGTTGTTTTAAGTGTATTGTTTATTTTATGTTTTAGATTTCATGTATTATGTGGTTCGTTTTTTCGTATTTTAATGTTTGTTAATCTATGATTTTATTTGTGGTCCTATATTTAGTTAATCAATAATACTAAAACTTAAAACACTAATGTAATAATATTAAATATAAAATAAAATTTACACACAAATATTGTAAATGTAATATATACAACGCAAGCTGAATATCCACAGCTTGTATGCTTTAGTGCATTGGCTGGTTTGAAGCGCATATCTTGCGACCGACTAAGCTATCCGGATCATCATTATCTTGTCGCCTCTTTATCTGAGGATGCACTGCATCATGATCGTCTGGAAGGTTAACTGGATTAGTAGAGGAGTCCGTTGGGCCAGCAGTAAACTACAAAACAAAAATAAGTTTTTAATATATATATATATATATATATATATATATATATATATATATATATATATATATATATATATATATATATATATAACTTGGCATATATGGCCTCTTCAAACTGTTATTTTTTGTATATATAAATGCTACAGGTAATTGAAAGACAAACTATGGCCTCTTCAAACTATATAATTTTGTCTTTATAGATAATTATCTAACTAACAAGAAAATGTGACTCATCATTTGAATTAAATCACGTAAAATGAGACGGAAGGGTAATAAATAGGAGTAACTTCATTTATGCATTATACTATCTAGTATCCTACCCAAAAAGAAGTAACTCAACGGCCAAGAATCCATCCAACAAGGCGGAGCAAGAACCTGACCCGGCTTTGCAGTTGAAGGTGTCACAGATGATCCATTCCCTACGTGAGACAAAAAGCCAGAGCCTCCACTTACCAACAACACTTCTGTCGCTGTGTGAAAGCCCAAAACTAAAGAAGAAGAAAATGCTCACTTTTCAACCAAACCTACCTTACCAACCCTAATCCCTATATTCCCTCTATCTTCAACTCTTTCCTCCTAAAGTAGATGATGTTCAAACACCAACTTCTAGGACCCGTTTCAGCTTTCTGTTTTAGGAACATTCAATGTACCTCGTCAGATATTGTAGATCTCTACTGCTACTGATCATGGATCACTCCTCTATCCAGTCTTAATTTTGATGGTCTAGATGTAGAAATACAACTTGCGCGTGTTCAGTTTCATCATTTGGAGGGGCATTTTTGTCCATTTTATCCAAGATTGGAGCTGTTTTTATCAAAAAAGATTTGATTTTTCATTTATCAAAAGATTGAAACTTTAGCTTTACAGATGGCTGATTTTCAATTTTGGTCTATGTTTATGGTTTGTTGTACAACACAGAGCTAACTTTATTTCTGGGGTTTACCAAGAAAGAGGATCTGAGTGATTTGGGTCTGTACAAAATTCCCATCCAAATTTGATTCTTGAAGATATGTAGCGTGAATTGGTTGTTACTTTTTGGTTTGTAATCATAGAAAGAAATATTATTTGAAGTTCACTGTTGAGGAAAATTTAGCAAACCAGTGTTGTATAGTTGTTAAAGATGTCATTCAAGAGTATGATTCAGGAAATGAGGGGTGAATTTGGGAGCATTTCGCGTAAAGGGTTTCGTTCTAGGTCACATAGGGTGGTTCAAGATTGTACAGTGACATTGGATGCTTTAAGGCAAAGTTGTTGGGCTAATATGCCGCCCGAGCTATTGAGAGATGTCCTGATGAGGATTGAGGCTTCCGACTCTACTTGGCCTCCGAGAAAAAATGTGGTTTCTTGTGCTGGTGTTTGTAGGAGTTGGAGAGAAATAATGAAAGAAATTGTTAGAACACCTGAAATTTGTGGCAAATTGACGTTTCCCATATCCTTGAAGCAGGTTTGACTCTCGAATTTTATGAGCTTTTAGTGTTCCAGTGTATGCCTTTGCGTTCTTGTTGTGTATGCTACGCAAACTAAAAAAAAGTGCTAGTACATTCTTGCTACATTTACTCCTTTAATCAGGGTGAGGCTCAACAGGAAAATTCTGCATGTTTTTATGGTAGCTTATACCTGGAGGATAAATAAAGTGTATTAAAGCTTACACATTGTATTCCATTAATAATTGATCTAGCGATTTCTTGTTTTTTTCATATGAAACTTTGGCCATTTAGGGTTCGTCAAGAGGAACAGCTTTTGCTAAGCCTAAGTTGTCATTTGAATGAATATGAGTTTTACAAGGTTGAGTGGTTGAGCATTGGGCGTGCTTGCTTGCACTTTGACTAATCCACAGATGACAAGCACAGGTCTCGGACAATCCTGCTCCAGCCTTCAGATGAAGTCAAACTGAGCGTTGTAGCTAGAAGAGGAACTTGTGGTCTTCAAGTTGATATCTTATGTCCGAGCAATTCAGTCATCCCCTAGGGGATCTGGAATATGCAAATAATATAGGACACTGAATCAATATGAGTATGAAAGAACTAAGAAAGAAAAGAAATAGCTTACCTTTAAATCTTACTACATCTGTAGATTTATGTAACCTTTGTTCTTTATGTTCTGCAAGAGAGAGCAGAAATTTAACTTACCTCCCCTCTTGGAGTTTCATGTTCCCCTTTAGATTACTCTGGAGCTTAATCAAGAGTATGTGCTGTTAATGGTGTGCTTAACTCTTGCTAATGTTCATTACAATTGCTGCTGAGCACCTGCTTAGTTGCTAGAGGAAAGATTCTTGTGGAGCTTGGTAATCTACAGTATATGTCATATGACCATCTGCATTAACAGCTATAAGCCTGCAGCCTGCACTCTTATGCACTTGAGTGAAGATTCTCCTGAAGTAGTGTGGAAGACACTCTCAACTTCCTTTCTAGGGCAGAATTGTTCGACTTTATTTTGGGTCAGGATAGTTGGAACTTGTTTGGAAACATCCTGTGTTGTAAGAACATTTAACTTTGTGTAGTAACAACAATTGTGAAGTCCTTTTGGGTTAAGCTCATGAGGTGAAGTGATGATTTATGGACCAGAAGTGCCCAATGGAAAGACGCCCTTGAGTTGACCAATTGTGAGTTCAATGCTCTTAAAATGGGGTGGGGGTGAGTGTGAGGGTGAGGAGGGAGATAGAGAACAGATGGACAGAACATTATCGTAGACCATGGGAAGAGTTGACTATGGCATATGAATACAAAATGCTAAGAGTATATATAGGAAAGACTGAAATTTTTTTGTCAACTAAAATAAGATTTTCGGAATGAAAGAATGCTAACAACTTTGTCTATTGGAATTACTGCTGAATCCTTATATTTTTCCAGCTGTTAGCACATGAGTGTTACTGTACTTCTATTTTGGTTATACCACTTTGAGATGATTGGACACAACCAATTGCAGCACAGCGATTAGATTTATATATCTATGTTTTTTTTTTTGATTTGCACCGGGTGTCCGAGTCTCTAAGAGCCCCGACTAATCCCGGGGGTGCACAGGCCCTCGGCAAGGAGTTTCCCGCAAGTGCACCACGGTTAATTCAGGTTTTAACCAGTCCGATGGCCCTCAGAAATTGTTTGCACCCAGTGGGTTTCGAACTTGAGACCTTGAAAGGGAGCAAAGATTTATATATCTATGTTATTGTTCTCTAAAATTTACATTTCTCCTGTGCTCCTATTTCCTTTTTCCTAGTTAAAGTGAACAAATTAGAACTTTCTTTATGTGTTTGAATCATTTGATAATTTACAAGCATAGTGAATAATAACTTTTTCCTCTTCCTGCAGCCTGGTCCTAGAGACAATCTTGTTCAATGTTTCATCAAAAGGAACCGGAGCTCTCAGACGTATCACCTTTATCTTAATTTTAGTGAAGGTGAACAATCGATTATTATAGTTTCGGTTCTTTCTTTCTATATATATGAATTACCCTCTCGTACTTGTTTGCCCTCTTTTCCTTTTCCGGTGTTTCTTTTGGTGCAGTTAGAGCCTCAGAGGCGTCATTTGCTTGTACCTGAATCTATCTAGGATTACTTTGCTTACGTTATCCAGGTTACATGATAGTGCTCTGACCTTCACTGTTGCCTTTTATACAGCTTCTAACGATGATGGTAAGTTCCTTCTTTCTGCTCGGAAGTGTAGAAGGCCAACATGCACAGATTACATCATTTCTTTAAATGCTGATGATGTTTCCAAGGGTAGCAGCACCTACATTGGGAAGCTGAGGTTTGTCGCACTAGTATGTCATTTGCTATTTTACAGTCGTCGTGCTGACTACGTTCTCCTTGCTGAACTTCGTAACAGATCCAACTTCCTGGGAACCAAGTTCACAATCTATGATGCACAACCCTCTAACGCAGGAGCTAAAGTCAGTAAATGCCGCTCTACTAGGTTTGTTGGAATGAAACAAGTCTCTCCAAGAATACCTGCCGGCAACTTTCCTGTCGCTCACATCTCATACGAGTTGAATGTCCTGGGGTCTAGGTAAGAGATAGTTCCTTTTGTTTGCTTTTATCTACAGGGATGTCCAATAAGGGAAATACTCCTTCTATGCCTAATATGCTGGTAACCTTCTTCGTTGTCCATAGATGATGTTTAGTCTTTTAAAGGGATCGTTTAACTAATTTGAAAAAAACAAGTTACTTGAGATCCAATTTACTCTTCAGTTCTAGGGTCTAAGTAAGAGATAGTTCCTTTTATGTTATTTTATCTACATGGATGTCCAATTAAGGAAATACTCCTTGTATGCCTAACCGGCTGGTATCCTTCTTTCTTTAGTTCCATAAATGATGTTTAGTCTTTTGAAAGGGTCGTTTAACTAATTTAAAATAAAAAGTTATTTGAGATCCAATTTTCTCTTCAAAATACTAGCTCTTCTATCTAAAAAAACAAAAAATACTACCAAACTTCCTTTTTTTTACATAACCTAAGTAGTAGTGAGAACAAATATGGGAGAAAACAGGATATACTTCAATTCTTCCAAATCAGTATTCACCCACTGTGATTACTACCAAACTTCCTTTTTTTTTTTACATAACCTAAGCAGTAGTGAGAACTAATATGGGAGAAAACAGGATATACTTCAATTCCGGCTTCAAGTCGTTTGATATCACCAAATGGAATTCCAACAAAGACATATGGTTTGAATGGGTGGAGAGAAGTCGCAATATGATGAGACGCTCATCCATGGGCAGAAAGACAATGGAATGGATTTGCTACGTACTTAAAGAAGTATCGAAAGATCAGAAGAATTTGGTGAAGAGATGGAAAAATAAGGATCAACTGACAGAATATTTCTGTACTAGGAAATTCAATGCTCATGGAAGGTATATGAGTATTTTGTCATTAAAGGGAGAAGAAAGGTTAGTCACTATTATCCCAGAGTTGGCCTTGAATGCAGGTTGGACAGACATAGCATTTAAGATAGAAAGATTCATTCATTATGCCCCCAAATTGAATACCACAGTACCCAGAAACACTGTGGACAACTATCCTTATGTCAAAGCAGTTAAGGAGAGTAAATGGCAATCCAATACTCTTCGAGAGGCAGAAGTCAGTACAAAAAAAGGAGATATCTCTGTTGTGGAACCACCCGGAATCGAGGACACTGGTTTACTAAAAAGATGCATTATTGGGTACTTTGGGAAGGAAATCACTGAGAAACCCACATTAGCAGACATAAGGCGATGGGCTATTGCTTCCTGGAACAAAGCCTTTGGGGTCAACATGTATGAGATGACTGGTAACATGTTTCTATTCGAATTTCCGAATAGATACATGGCTGAGCAGATTCTCCAAGGAGAATGGAGATGGAAAAAGTTTTAGTTTCATCTAGAATGGTGGAACTACACTGCTGGCTGCATACCAAACTCTCAAATTGTGGAAACCTGCTAGATTAGAGCCATGGGGATTCCCCTACATCTGTGGTCACAAAAGATCTTCAAAGAAATAGGAGATCTCTGTGGGGGATGGATAACTACTGAAGAAGAAACTGATCTCAAAAACCATTTCAAATGGGCCAGAGTTCAAATAGCTGGGGATGGCAAAAAGATACCTAATGAGATTGTGATTGAAAGAGAAGGGATCAGATTTTTCAACCCAATCTGGGCTGAAAAATAGGCAAGATTTGAGCTGAAGTCGTCGGAAAACCTAGACAGCACCGGAGAAGAGAGAGAGAAAGGAACGAAACTCACAAGAGACCAGTGGACAAAGGAACCCTATGAGCAACTAATGGATAAAGGCAGTCAAACAGCTGTAGACATGATGGGCGAGCACATGGGGTGTACTAGATTTCAAATTAAAAATAAGGGAAAGGCACGTGTGCAGCACATGCAAGGTCCAAGTTTTAATTCAATAGATCTGGGCCTGAAATTAAATGGGCCTGATTCTGCAGCCCAGGTCATTTTTAATGATCTTTTATGTGAGCCCAATGAAGAAAGAAAACTGACGCCTTATATTGAGGAACTGGGCAGCGTCTCTTGCTTGAAAATCCAAGAAACCAACGCAGGGGATCAAATTCCTACTGCAAACCTCGAAATTATGGCACATGCAACAACACATATGAGTTGCGATCAGCCAGAATGTGAAGCAGAGACAGGAAAATTGGGACAGAAGGCAGGGGAGCATACCATAAGCATGAAAATGGGGGAAAATCAAGTTGATAGCAGGCCGGAGCACCAACAACAGCTATGTCATTTCAATACTGATCAAAATTGGGAGGTGGAGGAGGTTACTCCTCTTTCAGTACAACACCACAATTCAGTAATGGATAAGGAGATGGACGCGACACTGTGGGTCCATCAGAATATGATTAAACTGGGAAAAATGTTCGGAGTAGATTTTCAAGGCCATGAAGAAGAAGCACTGGAGTTACTTATGCAAATTGACAGTTGTAGACAAGTCAGAAGATTGGAGACAGAGGTGGAGGTGAAGAAACAAAGGTTCAAAGGCTCACTGGCACTAAAGGGTTTAGCCTCTTTTGATGTCAAATTCAAGAGCGATGGGAAAAGAAATAGGGGGAAAGATCTGTCTATTATTGCAATATGAAGATCAATCTAATATCATGGAATGTAAGGGGATTAAATGACAAGAAGAAAAGGGAGATCATAAAAAGTCAAGTACTCAGCCGGAAGGCAGACATTATCTGTATGCAGGAGACAAAATTGGAGGGGGATATCAAGGAAACTGTCAGTCAAATTTGGGGTGGGAGATGGGTGAGGTACGCATGTTTAGAAGCTAGTGGCACGAGAGGGGGAATTTTGTTACTATGGGATTCCAGAGTATGGAAAGGGGAGGTGTTACAGATTGGTGCATACACTTTGACATGCAAGTTTGAGGCCCTTTTACAGAACTTTCAATGTCATATAACAGGAGTATATGCTCCTAATTGCAGAATAGAAAGAAGAACAGTATGGAGGGAAATTGGTGCAGTGAGGGGACCGATGGAAGGCCCTTGGGCAGTCTGTGGTGACTTTAATGTCGCAAGGTACCCCTATGAAAAAAGGGACTGCTTGAGGAGGTCCAGAGAGATGGTGGAATTCTCGGATTTCATAGAAGACATGGAGTTGATAGATCTTCAACTCGAAGGAGGCTCCTATACTTGGTTCAAAGGGGATAATCATACAACTGCTTCTAGAATTGACAGATTTCTAATTTCAGAAGAATGGGATGATAGCTTCAGAAATATCAAGCAAACTCTCCAACAAAGGCTGATCTCTGATCATGTCCCTGTGGCTCTATGTTGTGGTGCTTGGGAGCAAGCTAAATCATACTTTAAGTTTGAAAATTGGTGGCTGAACTCCGAAGGTTTTGATGACAGAATCAGGAACTGGTGGACATCTTTTGAATTTTCAGGAAGACCAGACTATATTTTAGCTTGCAAATTAAAAGCTCTCAAAGGCAAGCTAAAAGAATGGAGCATAACTTGTAAGGGAAATCTGGGAATGCAAAAATCAAAATTGCCGAGTCAATTGGCAGGTTTTGATGCAACACAACAATCAAGAGCTCTGACAGAGGAGGATTCAGTAAGGAAGACAGCTATCCTCATGGAATTTGAGGATCACCTCAAGAATGAAGAAAGTGCATGGAGACAGAAATCAAGGGCCCTGTGGCTCAAAGAAGGGGATAGGAATACAAAGTTTTTCCATCGCACTGCCAATGCACACAAGAGATCTAACAATATTGACCAACTAGTGATTCAAGATGAAACAATGGAGGAGCCAAACAGAATAAAGAATGAGATCATTGAATTCTACAAGAAGTTATACTCAGAACCTGAAGAGTGGAGACCTGCAGCCAATTTTGAAAATTGCCCCATAATTTCAGAATTAGAGAAGGAGTCTTTACAAAGCAAATTTGAGGAGCAAGAAGTCCTGAGCTGCCTAAAGATGTGTGCAAGTGACAAGGCCCCAGGTCCTGATGGATACACAATGGGCTTTTTCATTAAGTGCTGGGATATTTTGAAGCAGGACATCATGGAGGCTTTCAACAACTTCCATTCCCAAGAAATGTTTGAGAAAAGCTTCAATGCAACATACATAGCTGAGAAAAGCTTCAATGCAACATACATAGCTCATATTCCAAAGAAGACAGGGGCCAAAGAACCGAGAGATTTCAGGCCAATCAGTCTGATAAGGAGCTTCTACAAGCTGCTCTCAAAAGTCTTGACTGAAAGACTTAAGAAGGTGGTAGGCAAACTAGTAGATGCTCAACAGATGGCTTTCATCAAAGGAAGACAAATAATGGATGCAGTGTTGATTGCTAATGAAGCTGTGGACTCAAGAATCAAAAAGAAAAAACCAGGAATTCTATGTAAACTAGATATTGAGAAGGCCTATGATCATGTCAACTGGAGTTTTTTGCTGAAAATGTTAGAACAAATGGGTTTTGGGCAGAAGTGGATAAATTGGATGAAATTCTGTATCTCTACTGTCAGATTCTCCATTCTTATAAATGGATCTCCTGAAGGCTTCTTCCCTGCTCATAGAGGTCTAAGACAAGGTGACTCCTTATCTCCCTTCCTTTTCATTATAGCCATGGAAGGCCTGAGCAACATGATTAAGACAGCAAAAGTCAATGGATGGGTTAAAGGTTTTGAGGTTGACAGGAATGGATCAAACAGTCTAGAGATCACACATCTCCAATATGCTGATGATACTCTAGTCTTTTGTGATGCTGAAGGGGAGCGACTGAGGTTTTTGAGGATCATCTTGGTTTTGTTTGAGGGAATCTCAGGACTCCACATCAACCGAAAGAGCCATATTTATCCCATTAATGTAGTTTATAATATGGAGCAACTGACACTGATACTGGGAGGAGAAGTAGGGTCTCTACCTACTATTTACCTTGGGATGCCTTTGGGTGCAAGATCTAAATCCAAAGAGATTTGGAACTCAGTTATTGAAAAATGTGAGAAGAAGCTGTCAAGATGGAAAGCACAATATTTATCAATGGGGGGAAGGCTAGTTTTAATCAACTCAGTTTTAGACTTACTTCATACTTACATGATGTCCTTGTTCCCAATTCCAGCCGGAATTATACAAAGATTGGACAAACTCAGAAGATCCTTCCTTTGGCAAGGGAATAAGGAGAAAAAGGTATACCATTTAGTCAAATGGAAATCCCTCACAGTGGTGAAAGGGCAAGGTGGTCTGGGAATCAAAAACTTGAAGAATCAAAGCAAGGCTCTCAAAATGAAATGGCTATGGAGATATTCTCAAGAACCCCAAACCTTATGGAGCAAAGTGATCAAAGCTAAATATGGTGAGGAAAATAACTGGGTGTCGAAGAAAGTCAGCACATCATATGGAGTTAGTGTGTGGAAATCCATCAGGGAACTTTGGCCTACAATGAAGAATCACACTTTCATAAGAGTGAACAATGGAAGGAAAACATCATTCTGGAATGATAACTGGTTAGGACATGGATGCCTAAAGGAACTCTACCCTAATATGTTTGGTTTGGCACAAAACCAACAGAAGACAGTAGCTGAAATGTGGAGTTCTCAAGGTTAGGAACTCACTCTTAGAAGACAGTTGAATGACTGGGAGATAGCAAGATTAACTGACCTCTACAAAGTCAAGCTGGATGCATTTAAAGGTACACAGGAAGGGGTGGATTCACTTTGGTGGCAGAGGCACAACAGAGGGGTGGATTCACTTTGGTGGCAGAGGCACAACAGAGGGGTCTATCAGGTGAATGCAGCATATAAGATTTTGAATCAAAATGATCCACATATACATGATTGGCCATGGAAGCTTATATGGAGAACCACGATTCCCTATAAGGTAGCTTGTTTCACTTGGCTGCTAGCAAAGGAAGCTGTCTTAGGATAATCTCATAAAGAGAGGGTTCTCTTTTTGTTCAAGATGCTTTCTATGTGGGGAAAATGCTAAGACAGTTAGCCATCTATTTCTACACTGCAAGATAACAGACCAACTATGGAAAATTTTTATTAGTCTTAGGGGTATTTCATGGACAATGCCCTCCAGGATTATTGAAGTTCTTCTTAGTTGGGAAGAAGCTGGAGCTGAAGCAACTAACAGAGATAGATGGAGGACTGTCCCAGCATGTATCTGGTGGACAGTTTGGAAGGAAAGGAATGCTAGATGTTTTGAAGACAGAAGCAACTTAGTGCAGAAGATCAAACTCAATTGTATTCTTCTTTTTTGTTTTTGGTGTAAACAGATTTACACAGAAGATACGCTGTCAATCTTAGACATACTAGGATCTTGCTAGGATTGCACACTAGCACATCTAGTTAGCATTTACCTGTAAATAGGGTTTTCAGTACAACCTATGTACTGATTCTATTAATATATACAAATGTTATCAACTCAAAAAAAAAAATTATCTTTATTTGAAAATTAATAAACATAAAATTCAAATGAAATACTAACTAATCTAATATTCTATCAATAAAATATATAGTTTTTAAAAATATGATAGTTGGTGGTGGTGATGGCTTACGGGTGAATGCCGATTAGAGGCGGTGGTTGGTGGTAGTTTTGGTTGATGATGGTGGTTCAAGCTAGTAGCTAGTAGTGATTGGTAGTGGTGGCGATTATGATTGAGGATGGTGGTGGTGGGTGGTGATAGTTAATAATGTCGGGTGGTGGTAGTAGTTGTGATTGAGCAAGGTGGTGGGTGGGTGGTGGTAGGTTATATTGATGGGCTGTGCCGGCTGTGGTTGTTGATGATGATGGGGTGGTCAGTTGTGGTAGTTGAGGCGGATGAATGTTGATTGTGGGTGAGAATGATGGTGGTCGGAGTAGTGGGGATAGTAGGTGGTGATGGTCGATAATGGAGGCTATGATTAAGGATGATGGTGGCGTGGTGGTGGCGGAGGTGGTGGTGGTGAGGGGGTGGTGATGGTGGTGGTGATGGTTGAGTATGGTGGTAGTGGTGGCATGGTGGTAGTTGATAATGTTAGGCGGCGGCGCCAGTTAATAATAAATATATGATAGCATCTTAATGAAATTAAGTCTCTGTTATGGATCTTAATCATACAGACCTATTCAGACCCATTAAGTGGTTGTGAAGTAAAAAAAACAAACAAACTTAATGATTAAGATCCGAACAATTAAGATTCAGACTTTAAAAACAAACGCATTTAACGTCTGAGATCTGAATGATTAAGATTGAGACCTCCATTAAGTGCAAACAAATGAGGCCTAAATCTTTCTTCTTAGTTCTTACATGCTCAAACACGCTCCAATTCCTTTCACACCCGGATGAGCTACATGTTAGATTTAGAACCTTGATGGCAAACTTTTGTAAATCTGGAGTGGAATGACCATATTGCTTCCACCATTCAACTGTAGAAGTAGAACAAATTTTCAAAACATAATATTGATAAAGAAATAACTTATTAACTATAAAACAACATATAAGCACTCGCTCACCTGGTGACTTCGTCTTTCTTTGTCTAATCGCCATGTTTTTTCCAAAAAGTTGCTCAGCATTCCTATAAATACTAAATTGCTCTGTTATTTTATCTTCACGGATTCTTCAGGTATCAACTTCTCAATACATTCATAGTATCCATTCCACAAAGGTTCATCTCCTAGAATCCTCTCTTCATTGTCATAAAACAGTTCCGGGTTCAAAACAAGTCCAGCTACATGCAAAGGCCTATGAAGCTTACTATCCCACCTTTTATCTATGATCTCAAAGACTCTTTTGTATTTTCTTTGATCACTATAAGAGGCTTGAATAGCCTCTTTTGCCCTATCATTTGTTTCGTACAGGTAGCCCATTGGTGGCCTTTGCTCCCCATCCACCAAACGAAGCACTTTAACTAAAGGACCACCAATCTTCAATGCATGAACCACATTGTTCCAGAATGAAGGAGAAAGTATAATATCTGCAGATTCTCTCCCTCGAGCTTCCCTTCCATAGGCACTGCTAGTGTACTCATCCGAAACAAACAACTTCTTCAAATTGCTTTTTTGCTCATACATCCTATGTAAAGTCAAGAAAGCAGTAGCAAATCTTGTCTTTGCAGGTTTCACCAAGCTTCTTTGTTTAGTGAATCTCTTCATCATGTTCAATAACAAAGGCCTTTGAACAATATAGGAATGCACTCTAATTGCCTGATTAAAGACTCTACTGAAGGTCTTTCCTTGAAAATGTCACCGAAGATCAAATTAATGGAATGTGCTGCACACGTAGTCCAATAGATATGCGGGTACCCATCAGACATCAAATCACCAGCTTTAACATTTTCACTGGCGTTGTCCGTGACAACTTGAACAACATTTTCTGCTCCAATAGAGTCTATTGTACTCTTGAACAAGGATTACATTTTGGTTGAATCAGTCGAAGAGTCGCTTGCATCAACTGACTCAAGAAACAGGCTTCCCTTAGGAGAATTCACCAAGATATTGATGATCATTTTTCCATTTCTCGCCGTCCACTTATCCATCATAATGGAACAACCAAACTTGTTCCATTCTACTTTGTGCTCCTCCACGATTTTGTTCACCTCTGCCACCTCTTTTTTTAGATATGGCCCTTTAACTTCATAATAAGTTGGAGGTTTCATTCCTGGACCATATTGGCCTACGGCCTCAATAAAAGCACAAAAGTGTCAGTATAATTAACACAATTAAAAGGAAGACCTGCATCATACATCCACCGCGCAAACATTGTAACTGCACGATCCCTCAAAATCGCTTTGGCATCAATTTGAGGATTACCACTTTTTCCTCCCTTATCTCCAGATTTTTGCGGGAAGTAACAATCCATAGGACCTTTGGTCTTGCCAGTAGATCCACAACTAAAAGACATTGGTGGAAGCATCCTTTCCCGCTTTTGTGATTTTGGTGGAAGCGACGAAGCATCGTCACCTTCTTCTGTTTCATCATCATCATCATCAAGATTATAAAATTCTTGTTCACGAATCATTTGAGTCTTTAACTCTTTCTTTTTTTGAAGGTATGCTTTCAATTCTACCTTCACATGCCCCGGAACTTTAGTACATGCGCTTTTTGACGATAGATTCCCCCATTTGAAATCTTATCACAAAAAAGACATCTAATGGCCATCTTGTTGGTCTCGCTAATTCTTGAAGAGTAAGCCCAAGCTGGATCTTTCCTATCTTCTTTTGGCGCCATTAAAAGAACAACTACATAACACATAAGAAAGGCAATAAGAACTAAGAATAAAGGATATAAAAAATTAAAAATTGGGCAGAAACTGGAAAAATTGGGCAGAAATTTTCTGAGAAAGAACCGAAGGTAAAAAAAAGAAAATTCGCCAGCACTTCGCCGCTTTTTGGACGTTTAGAAAGAAAAAGAAAAAGAAAAAGGAAGAAGAAGAAGAAGAAGAAGACTGAAAATCAAAAGTGCAGAAGCAGAACATACATGTACTGTTGAAGAAGAAGAAGAACCCTTGATGCTTTGAGATAATTTCAGAAATCTGAAGTTGATGAAGAAGAGAAGAAGAAATCGCTGCTCTTGTTGAAGAAAAAACCTAGTCTCGCTGAGAAGTCCAGACAGTCTTTACGGTTTACAAACTCGTTTTTTAATAAAATAGGGCTTGGGTTAATTTTAAACACAGAAGCGGACGCTTCTCTCGCTTCTTCTCGCTTCACCGCTTCTCGCTTTTTACAGAGAAGCGGTCGCTTTTTCATACCAGAGTCGCTTCAAAGACCTGAAGCGCTGCCCTTCACGCCTCGCTTCGCTTCTCGCTTAAAGTGATGAAGCGAGCACTTTTTTCATCACTGCCTTAAAATGAGTCAGTTTAACATAGCTCCTAATTCGTTTTTCATGAAGAACATCTCCTAGTACTAATTTAAAAGACATACCATAATTTTCTTTCTCTACTGGGTTCCGATTAACCCATAACTCTGGATTGTTGAGCTCCAGATTTCTATTTCTTATTTAGCTGGCTTTACTGTCCTCTACTTGAAACCCTAATACTCAGTGAGCAAACGAATAGTTCGAAGTTCCAGCTGCCACTTGGGCGTTAGAAGAGCCTGTACCTTTCCCCTAAATCCTGTCCATTAAGATTTTAGCTCGTCTATCTTTGTGTGATTGCATGACAAGATTTAATTGTCCATGTTTTGTTTGTGTCAACAATGGTAGTCTTATCTGTAAGCATCAGACAATTGTGTGACTTGTATCAAAAGTTAATACCACGAAATGCCTGTCTTTGTGACTTCTTTATGTTAAAACTACTGGATGTGAACTTTAAAACGATGTTTAGTTCCATAAGGGAAGTAGAAGGGTAAGGGGAGAGAAATTCATTGGTTCTTGTCCCCTTCAGTGCAATATATATCATTTGCTCCCTATTGTTTGGAATAAGTGGAAGGGAAATAAAAGAGAGATATTTTCTCCATTTAGTGTTAAAGGGGGGCTAAAATGCAGACTTGGACAATTATCCAGACCTTCACTTGTACTTCCTCTCTTGCACTCTTTTTTTCTACCCATTGATACATATTAAGTATTCCCAAGTTGCTATAAATGATTAGCTTTCGCGAAGTGGAAAAGATTGTGATAAAAATGACACTGTTCTGCTGTCAGAGATCAGTGAAATTCTTTGCTGGTCTATTCCACTGTCCATCTGACAAGGTGGATGGTTTTGGTTTTCTTGGAGTTTTGCCAATTGGATATAAAGATTGTGGTCACCAAACTACTAATTACTGGAGCACAAAAACAGAAGTTTGTATGTTGGTTGAGGTGTTTCCTTTTAGTTTAGAGGTTTCAGCAACTCATATGCTTTCATTTCGTACGTGCCAACTATGTGTTCAAGTGCTATTGTTTCTATCTCTGAATTCTCACCATTCCTACTGCGCCTCGTCTTCTCTCTGGTGCTGAAACTTCTTTTGTTCTGTTCTTTTCAAATCTAAACTCAAATAAACGACTTTTGTGATCTAGTAGTTCCTGAATACGTGCTTGAGCATGAGCTATTGATTAAGAACATCCTTGAAGAGTTGTTGAGTTCTTAATTGGTTTTCTTCACTCATTGTGTATGTGCAATTTCTCTAATGGCTGATGTATCCAATGAGCCAAGTACACAAGCTGGACCATCCACCCTTCACGCACGTGCTAGCTATTCTGCTATTTGTGCCAATTGGTATGAAATTTGAAATATTATATCTTTCTGGTTTGGCCTATTGAATGCTGATACCATATCGTTTCTCCTAGATAATCTATGCTGAATACTGAATGCTATGTAGTATGTTACCATCATATGGCTCATTTATTAAAGAAAGAATTACAAGAAAATACGCATGACTTCACACCATAACAAAAAATGGCTCATGTTTTTAAGTTTTACCCTACCTAGCCCATATTGTACATATTTTGAAAACAGTAACTCTTGCAAATTTAAAATTTGTGTTCTTACAACCATTGCTTCTAAAAGCTATGGAGTTAAATCTTTGTTCTCACAACCATTGCTTTCACTCTCTCTTCTTCTCACATCTTCTACATATGATTCAAGTTGACGTTCGCCATTACTGCTTCTTTCTCTATATCATCTGGTTGCAATGTAAAAAAATCGAAGAGTACGTAAAAGTCCACCATTGAAGGTCACTCAAAGCTTTGCATTCAAAAATAAATTTTTTTTAGTTTGTTAGTTATTTGGATTGGATGTTGTTCCAATTCATTGAAAATATCAAAAGGTGTTCAAAGTTTAAATTTGAAGTGATTTGGAGTAGATTTAAGCAAGATTTGAGTTAAATTTCAGAAAAGACGCAAGGAAGAAGACGACGTCAGTTTTTTGTATAATTATGTATAATCTTGTATAATAGTGTATATGAGTGTATAAACACAACTTATACAGTATTATACACTTTTATACACCTTTAAACAATCGTCTGTAGACGAACTTCTTCCACGATTTTCAGTTGTAATTCTTGTTCAAAACCAGTCCAAATCTCCATTAAATGACTTCAAATTTTATATACAACCTCCTTATACAATTTCTAACAAGTCTAAATAATACCCACTCCAAATTTCTCACAAAATCAAATTCAAAATTTAAACCCACATATTTAAGCTTGTAAAAATCTAATTTTCACCACCCAAATGGATTTGGTTTGTTGAACTAATATTTGAGTCACAGTTACTGATTCGAAAATTAATTTAAAAGCTTGAGCAATCTTTTTTAAAAATTAAATAGTAATTTTGAGAAACTATTGGAGTTGGATGTTGAATCTTAGCCTATATTTTTTGGCTAGTTGGTTGTAAATTGAAATATGGGCTATAAAATTGAAAAGTAGGAAGCTCAGTTGTTCTTATGTGAAATTTTCCCTTTATTAAATTGTTTTGTCTACTGTAAAGCTTTCTGATATATGGCGATTTTATTCCCTGCAATTGCAGAAAGAGGAGAAAGAAAGGTCTGTAAGTCAGCAGGAAGAATGACGTGTTTTGTAGTCCTACACATGGTTGTCGTGCTGCTAGCCTAGAATCCCGCCAGAGGTTTCGGAGGATATATGCATCTTGTCAAATTGTGTAATAACTTCTTTACAATTTTCCATAGGATATTTAAGACATGGCAGCACTTATGATCTTCTCATTCAACGAACAAATTGGATAGATAGTCTCATGTTTATTCATTTTCTGTTGCTATTTTGTTACTGAAATTCTCCTTAACTCGAGAGTTATAGTAGGTACTAGCTAATGAGAGTTGAGATGGAGTTGGAGTAGTACTTATCAATAAGATTTATGTTTCACATTGGAATTTAATGACAAAATTTCCTGTTTTTTGTTCCCCCACCCTCACCCACCCCCCAAAAAAGAAAAGAAAAAAAGCAGAGTTGAATCCTATTTACCCCTCGAGGAAATGGTCGCTTACAGTTTGAATAGAAGAAAACGACTCTTCACCTTTATAAAAAAAAAAGATATCTTGTTGGCTTTTCTTTCAAAACTTTCATGTATACTAATGAGCAAGTAGATAGCACGGCGATGGATTTTCTTTACGAGTATGCAATCACTCATAAAAGGCAAGTCATTATTATTAAGAGGTGATTCGCATCAGATGCAATATAAGAACCGAAGATAAAAATAGTAAGTTTGGTAATTTCCTTTTCTCATATCTTACATGCCCATTTCGTATTGTTTCCCTTATGGTTCCTTTTGGCTTTTTGTGCTATTCAAATGGAATTTACGTAAAAGCGATTCGAACTTACTGTATATATATATATATATATATATACATTTTTTAGTTTAGTGCTTAAAATTTGGCTTTTTTCTTCTCTTTGTATAAATACAGTAAGTTCGAATGCGGTAAGAATTAAGTGAATATTTTAAAAGACCCTACAGTATACTGTAAATTGGAGATATCATATCACCGAATTCATTGCTTTCTTTTTAACACGAAGTACATACTTGGTATAGATAGTGATGTTTTGGAGTATATGACAAGAGAATATTTACCTACAACTACCATATATTTCCTTTTATTTGTGTCTGTGTAGGGGATGGGGTGTTCATACTGTTGTAAATTGTAGGAAAAATATTGAGGATATGTAGATATCACTTTTACTTATCCAATGTAAATTGGGAATAAAAGGAAAGCCCACACATGTAAGAAAGGTGAGTTAAGAGAGAGGAAGAATTATGGTTTCCCGTAAAATGGTACAGTGGTTTCTAGACAAGTGAATTAATTTGATCCTAAAATAAAAAAAATGACTGAAGAAATATACAATATTTAGCCTTAAAATGTAGATGAGATAGCAGAGTTGACGAATCCGGGAACAAGGTTTTCGGGCACAGCAATGATGAGATCAAAAGCAAGAAAGTAAAACTGTATTAAGCTTTGTATAAAATATACTATAAGTTAGCCAGAAAATTTGTCCTTTACAATGATAACTGAGCTCTCTATTTATAGTCGTTTCTAGGGATAGAGGTCCTAGGATCATGCCCTCCTTTAACGTCAATTATGAGAGTCATTGATGAAGATGTAACGGTGGACATAAATGCCAAATTCCTTGTAACGGGTCGTCGCCCTTAACGCTGCAGAATATTCCTTATTAAATGCTACCGGGCACAAAGCATTTAATGCACCTTAATGATCATTATTCCTTCCGGTGATAAGCGGAATAACTGCGTCTGGTGGCTATTTCCGTCTTGGGTCCCACGTGCCCTTTCTTTAGTGGGTTCCACGTGTCCTTCCTTTAGATGACCACGTGTCACATCGTATTTTACCCTATTCAAATGAAAATAAGGAAAAGAGTAAAAAACTAAAGTTCCCATCCGTAAAAGTGAGATATCAAGGATGTAAATGAAGTTTAAAAATGGTAAGCTAGATCATAGGTGCAATTGAGGTTATCCTTATGTTTCATGAATTACTGAAAATGGGAAGTAACAATATACTTTCTCTTCGAGAGATCAAACCATCGAATTTGTATATCATTTTGCCTTATATATCTTTAATTAAATCATGTTTTGTAAGTTATTTTCCTCAAGTATACAACCCAGTGATAAAAGTGTGTCAATCACGAGTTTGAGTTAGATAATTTTAATCCAATTCATTCTTCTTTTCCCCCGTTAACTCAGTAAAAAATGTAGTCATCTTATTAAGTACTTTAACTATGCATAATGCTAGTTCCCCACATTTATTTTCTTGTATGGTATAGAAAATTTATTATTCTTGTACGTAAACGGAATATATTGTTAAAAGAAACAGAAAAATGTACACGTTTTATTTTAAAAAAATCGCCGAGGTTCGGAAAGTAAACACAAACTCAACGTTGAGATTCTAATTTGTATATTAATTTCTTTTTTAGATAGTACGTATTCAACATTATATTGGATTAGCATAAATCAAAATTTTATAAGAAGTTTAAAAAAGTTATAGCATAGAGAATAATTCAATTGACCAAATAATGGGGACAATAGAATATTTGTACGGAAAAGAGTAACATTTATTTGGTTAACCAATAATTACTAATGCAAACGCTCCCATTAATGTCCATTTATCTAGTCCTTTTATTTTTTTTATCCAACTAATATTTAAATTTAAAATTTGAGTTTCAACTGAGAAAATCACCCCCTCATTTCCACTTATTTATAGTGTCATCTCCCTCAGAAAACGCATAGATTTGGGTAAAAATCAAGGGCAATTCCGGTACACTACTTATATATATATGCCCCATTGTTATTAATTTTAGAGTCTGAAAAAATTAAAAGAGCGGAGCGTTGCATTAACCATATTTTCCGTTATCTCCTCTTTCTATACCTATATTCCTATCCTTCCTTCTCTCTAAATTCTTTGTGATATTCCTCTGATCAATTTAGGGTTTTTGCCAAATTTGATTTCGACTCAGCAACCATAATGGGTTCCGATTCAATCGCCAATGCTTCAATCCCTATGCTTTCCTCTAACCCCAAAGATTTCGCCAAGAAAAAAAGGGTAACAATTTGTTTAATTTGTTCTTTTTTCTCTCTTTCAAATTTCTGTTTCCTTTTGCATTTTAATTAATTATATTTAAGCTTTTTTCTTTCCAATGTGATTGAGTTGTATTTTGTTCAGGCGAATCGGTCGGCTAAGTTGAAGCAGTGCAAGCTTGATGCTCGACGGGAACAGTGGCTTTCGCAAGGTTGCTTAAAGTTTCTCCCTTTCTTATGTATCTTTCATGCATTAGTAATCTTCCCTTCTTACAATTAACAAATTTTTAAAAATATATATATTTTTATTAAATCTACTCACATCAATTGTAAATAAATTTATTTTGTGGTACAAAGGTATATCACACCCATTAAAGTTGACATCTTTGAATATGTCTGTGCTTTTGGTGAATATTTGTTCAGTCTCAAGATTGATACTTCTGTCCCAACTTATGTAACACTATTTCCTTTTTAGTTTCCATTGTTGCCCTTAATGAGATAAGTTGTAGCCAGACAAATGTCAATGGCTCATTTTAGACCTCATGTTTTCAAGCCTTCCTTTCTTTCAATTTTTATACTCCATGCACAGTCAAACTTGGTCACATAAACTGGGATGGAGGGAGGAGTAATTATGTTGTTTTCCTATTTGTATGTGCCTTAATTCTTGGTTATTGGGCTTGTGTAGTGAAGAATAAAGGCTCCAATGAGGAATTGAATGGTGGGGGAGGAGCTCCTGGCCAG